AGATATCTTTGGTCGTGGTTCTAAAGCGGCGGCTTACGTCACATTCTGGGACAGTTTCAGGAAGGACCACTGTCGGTGTCTAGCGATCAGAGCTAACCCAAAATACAGCACCTAGCGGTGTCGTACATTTAGCATGACTTTCTCACCGTGTTACAGCTGCTACGACCTACATCTACACATTAGCCAATAGAAATGAAGCAGGAAATGACACAACGGACACCGCGACACCTGCACCAAACTCAAACACACGTACGGTTTTGATTTTTCCTAGAATGGTTTCGGTAACGATGTTGCCCCTGCCCCCAATCCGTGGTCCGTGGACCAGTGCCAGTCCGAAGGTCATTTCGTACTAGGTCACAGTGAAAAAATGTACTTCAGTTTTACTAATGTACTTCACTCCAAAATAATCCAGTCATGTCCCTTTACTGTTTTCATTCAAAGATAATCTGTCAGTGTTTCAGAACAACAGGTCAAAGGTCATTCCGACTCTGATACTCTGAACAGAAGAAAGTCTGAAAGATGGTTTTATTTTGAAAATTTTATTTTATGATCCTTCAACCATGGCGTGGTATCACCGGTCTGCAGTAACTTGGCTGGTACCGACCGACCGGTCCTTGGTACAGAAAAGGTCGTGAACCGCTGACCTGCGTGTCACGCAACGGTCCCATAGGGTTGTTGGTAAAATCGCAAAATGTATGGAGGAATATAGAGGAAGAATGCTCATGCACGCCCCCCTGTGACAGGCCAGCGGTCCCGTTCCCCCGTCACAGTCACAGCCAACAGCAGCGAGGTGAAAGGTCACGAGCGACTGCCTCTCCAGCGTTGTGTAAAATGTGAGGATGACAGTTTCGGCCCATTATGTGCACACGTGTGTGTGTGTGTGTGTGTGTGTGTGTGTGTGACTGGAGGAGAACAGTGGGGCATCTGAAAGTAACGGGTTATTATCACCTCAATATTTTTCTTATTATGACAATTACATGCTCCAGGAGCGAATTAAGCGATACAGGACGCCGAGCGGGAACGGTTGACAGCTATTTGGAGACTCAATGCACAGAGCAATTTACAGCCCTGAGCCAAACAAATTGGATTTGGGCCACTTTGGATTGGGGCCCCAAATTGTTGGGCGTTTGGATCCCCCGACCGCGTGCTGCCTGCCTGCCTGCCTGGCTGGTTGGTTGGTTGGTTGGTTTCCTGGCTTTGTTTCGTGACGGCAGCGGAGACTCAGTCGGATAAACAACGCTCACAGGTTGGACCGAGGCGCGGCTGCGTGTCCGTGTCTGTGGCGTTTTTTTTGTAATGACGACTTTTACAGTCGTCTCTCTGTAAATAGAATTTGCCGCCGTGGATTTATGAGGTATTTACCGCCGACGTTTTTATGGTCTGGTGCTGCTCGGCTTCTAACCCCATCATTTCACGAACTGCTGCGACTTGTTTTTTTTTTTTGTATTTTTTTTTTGGTCCGGGGCCACGCAGCTGTGCTCAAGTCTATGTCAGATCCAAACGAGCCAAACTGCCACTCAACAAATTACTCTTACGCATTTTCCCACCCGTAAAGTACAAGCGGGAAAGCTGGCAACAGCCGCGAATGAGGTGAAACGCAATTAATCCAATCCATTCGCACAATTAGCGCGCGGCGTAACAACAACGCAACACATCCGATCGGCTCGGTGTGTTTCGGAGGCGAGGCCGTCAAAACACCTTGCGAGAGATGGCACGCAGCTCGAGGTGTCAGTGGGTGAAAAGTGACATCCCTATTGGCTGAGGCAGGGTATTACATCACTGGACTCGGACCAACAACCGCTTTGATCGCTTTGGACACAGAGTTACTGAGCGGAGACAGCGAGCGCCCGAGGTGCTCAGCCGTGAGACGGTGGATAAAGATAAAGATAAAGATAAAGACAGGCGACAGGCTGGCAGTCGCACAGCTGCATGATGGGAAACAAATGCTGCGCGTGTCACTGCCGAGATGGCACAAACCAAAACAGGAAGTGAGTCACGGACGGTCATTATCACTGGGCCGTTGTTGGAGGAATATGAAAAATGATGGAACTGTTTCAGGACCGATGTGGGAAATGATGTTTTTGATTTGTTGTTTTTATTATTGATTTTTCGTTTTTACAGAATAAGTAGAACTGTGAGGTCTGGACCAAATATATTCAGTTGTACTGTAGTACTGACCTGCTCTGCACTCCTTCTGGAAAACAAAAGAAAATACTCAGACTGAGCACCTAATGGCCCCCGCCCCCACACTTTGTCTAGTTTCATTTGTTTTTTGTGAATGAAGTAGCTTCGCAAAATTGATAAAGTTTCAAAAATACTCAGATATATTCTAGTGCAGTACAGTTCCTTCATCTACACTACACTACACTGGTTCCCAACATTTGGTCCGTGACCCCATTTTGACATCACAGTTTTCTGGTCATGTGATCGCGGCCGTCCATCCAGATGCTCCAGCATCGATAGCTTTATACGCTGTATTTTATTTTAACTCCATTTATATTCATTAAAGTGAAAATAATTTTAAAAAGAATAATAATTAATAACAATAATATTTTTTTCTATCAATGACGACACATTGAAATGACAAATTCAAATTAATGGAATCCCAAGGTGACCCTATGTGGGGTCACGACCCCAAGGTTGAAAAACAGTGAACTACCACCTTTTTTTAGTATTTTCTCTCCTTGTTAACAGAATATTACAGTAATAAATATACTTATAAGTTTATAATATAAGACAGGGGTTCCCAAAGTGAGGGGCGAGTACCCCTGAATGGACACATGGTGGAGTGCATTCAGGCAGTTATGAATTTCAATGTTTTTCTAATTTTTTGTCACAGTAGGAAAACAACCCTCTGTCAGTCACAGTCACAGACAGTCACAGTCACAGACACAGTCACAGACTCAGACACAGACAGTCACAAACACAGTCATAGACACAGACAGTCACAGACACAGCCAGTCACAGACACAGACACAGACACAGTCACAGACAGGCACAGACACAGTCACAGACACGGTCACAGACTCAGACACAGACAGACACAAACACAGACACAGTCACAGACAGTCACAGACACAGCCAGTCACAGACACAGACACAGACACAGTCACAGACAGGCACAGACACAGACACAGACACACACAGTCACATACACAGTCACAGACACAGTCACAGACGCAGTCACAGACATAGACACAGACAGTCACAGACAGTCACAGACTCAGTCTCAGACACAGTCACAGACAAAGACACAGTCACAGACAGTCACAGACACAGTCTCAGACACAGACACAGACAGTCACATACACAGTCACAGACACAGTCACAGTCTCAGTCACAGACACAGTCACAGACACAGACACAGACACAGTCACAGACACAGTCACAGTCACAGACACAGTCACAGTCACAGACACAGTCACAGTCACAGACACACTCAGTCACAGACACACTCACAGTCACAGACACAGTCACAGTCACAGACACAGTCACAGACACAGTCACAGACAGACACAGTCACAGACACAGACACAGACACAGTCACAGACAGTCACAGACACAGTCACAGACACAGTCACAGACATAGACACAGACACAGTCACAGACATAGACAGAGACAGGGACCCGTCTGTTCTGTCAGTGACGTCTGGTCCGGCCTCAGGTCAGACCCTGGTACTGCGTCTCAGTCAGGATCAGCTGGTGGACTTTGACAGGTCTCCAGACTGACACCTACAGGTCACTGACAGGTGGCTCAGCTGCAGCTGTGTGTCTGTGTGTGTGCGTGTGTGTCCCGTCACATTTTCTTCTCACTTTCACCCTCGTTTCCTCCCGTCTTTAATGCTTCCCACATTCCAACCAGTGAGCGTTTTTTTTTTTTTCATATTTATCCGAGGGAATTCCCTGGATTCAGTTCATGGAGGGAATACCTATAAAGCATGAACACACACACACACACACACACACACACACACACACACACACAAATCCTCCCGTCACCGCAGGGAATGAGGCTGTAACGTGAACCCGGTCCTGGTCGGACTGAAGCCCATTACAGTGGTGAAGAGTCAGTGGTGGTTTGGTCTGTGGTGATGTGTCTGTGTCTGTTCCTCTGCCATATGAACCACAGCCACAGAGTTAACAGACCACAGGAACCATAAACACGTCTGCTGCTCCGCTGAACCCCCAACCTTCTAACCTGCAGTACTCATTACAAAAAAATACTTCCCTGTACTCTGTAATACATTACAACACGTTTTCTTTTTTTCAATTCAGTGGTTCCCAAAGTGGGGGGCGGGACCCCTAGAAGGGCCAGATGAGTTTCTTTATATAAAACATGTATACTGTATACTCTGGGTATATATACATATATATATATGTATATCTATACATATATACACACAATATATATATATTTATATATGTATACATGAATTTATGTATGTATATGTATACATATACATACATACATTTATGTATGTATATGTATACATGAATATGTATACATGAATTTATATATATTTATATGTGTGTGTGTATATATATAAATATATTTTTTTTATTATTTATATATACACATATACTGTGCTGCAAATGATAAAGTTAAAAAAGTAAATAAATATATATATAATGTGTATATGTATTTATGTATATATTTAAAAAACAAGTAAATAAATACATTTTTATATATGTATATATGTATTTATTATATACTTGTTTTTTAGAGCACTGTGGAGAAATTTAACACATTTTTTAATTAATTTTTTTTTTTCTGTGAGAATATGTTTTTTTTAAGAATTACAATTTTTTAAATACATTTTGAAGCCGTCGCTGTGGTCGCGTTGCTGTGTGGGTGGGGGTGGGGGGTGGTGTCAAGGCATTTTATTGAGATATATTGTGGTAGTCGACCTCAGTCGACCTGCAGTCTGACACAGATTATTAAACGTGTTTTTTTTGTTTTTTTTCTAAACACTTCCTGTTTGTCCCCTCTGCTGTTCCAGGATCTGTCCGGCTCCATTGACGACCTCCCCACTGGGACGGAGACGGGCCTGGGCTCAGCCGGCGGCGCCGGCGGCTCCTCCTCCAGCAACAGTACCAACAGCAGCCAGGTGGAGGCGGGGGCAGCGGGGGACCAGGGGGAGACACCCCTCGCTCCCCCCCTCCCACACC